GAGACGAAGTAAACAACGTCAATATCTGGCTATCAAACTTGCAGTATTGATCATCTGACGGCTTGACTGAGGATTCCTTCTGGTAAACATCAGGAAAGAAGTCCTTCAAGAAAACATCCATAGATGTTACACCACCTGTAAAAAGAAACATATTATTCAGGTTTGCTGTCACCTTGAACGATGCAAACATAAACTACACTAGTACGAAATTAAGTACATATTTCACAGATTCTCAAAAACAAGTGATACGATTATTACATCTTCAAAAAGAAACTAATTAATTGTACATTATAACACACCTGAAATACCAAGATCATAACCAAAAATCAGACCTCCTGTTGCTGCAAAAAGGCACGTGAAGAACACCCTGAAAGTAAACTTTCCAGGGTATTCCTTTCCACCAGATGTTGGAGCGAAAGCGCCTCCAGCCATCTCTTTCTTTCTTTCTCTTTGTTTCTTTTGGATATGATTGGTGAGATTCGTAAGCCAATCAATGGGAAGAGGGAGTATTGGAATGCTATATGAAATTATATTTATAGAGGATATACATTATATATATAGTGAGCTGATTTAACTGTATCTCTACCACTCGCAAATCCAAACGGATTGTAATTGATTTATCCAAGATTTAAATAATAACTTTATCTGTATCTCTAAAATATCTCAACAAATTTATACATATTTCTATCCAACGTGTATGTAGAGTTGTTATTGAAATCAACTTGATTTGAGATTTGTAAGTTAGAATTTGAACCGAGTCTTTCTCCAATATTTGAACATCTTTGCGCGAGAAATACTACTACTGTGAATCATAAATCACGTGTTAGCTGTGTCGTTGATATTTCGTATCACTATATGTATTAAATTATTTATCTGATGTAAGAAAACTTTATCATTAATATCCAGCACGCAAAATCTTGACGGACATAGAAGTTCGATGCTTGCTTGCTGCTTGGCTTCTTAGTTTTGGAACAGCTCTGCTAATTTTGCTTCTCGAAACCCTATCGGAAATACGATTCATAAAACTTCAGGTACACGACATAAGAATATAATGGAAAGGAGACTAAGGTTGACAAGTGAGAACTGAGAGGAGGCCCGCCCACTGAGGCGGTGCTCCGTTATACTATTCCCATTATTTTTTAATATTTAATTAATAAGTCTTTCCTTCATTAATAATCTCTCAAACAATTTTATCTTCATCATATTTGAGGTCATTGCAAACATAGAGACGAATGCTTATATGTTTTTTTTCCTTCTAAATTCCGTACTTCCTTCCAAGTGTAGTATTCAACAATACATCCATAACGTATGATTTGATTCGATCATGATAGTCTATTTATTTGTAAATAAATAAGTCTTTTTAGAATGATAATTGTTTTTTTGTGATAAAGCTGTATAAATATTATAATAATTGATATAATAACATTTATTTTTAGTATTTTTATTGTATACGAGAATGTATCGAATTTGATTCCCATTAAATCAAGATGATTATTTTAAATTTTATTTCATACAATAACGAATGCTAAAGTTTATTCAAAAACATATTAACAATATGAATTATTTTTTAATTGGCTTAAGATGCATTGGATAATAAAACTATCCAATCCACACTCACCAATTCACCAATTATGAAGAATGAAAAATTGAATGATACAGTAAAAAAAGGAAGTCGTGTATGGCATTGAATATGCGAGTGATAAAATATTATATAAATAAGAAATATATTTTAATTTTTTTATTTCTTTCTCCTTTTTTAATTTGATATTTCAATTTCTTAAGAATATATGTGACTTCATCTCGAACACCTTTATGAAATGCATAGGCATACTTGGGTTCAAGTGCCTTTTATTTTAATAAATCTTATTGTTTTTCTATTTTCTTAATTATTTCAGAAGATGTATTTTTAAGCTCTATCATCACTTATATTTTTTATTTATTTCTGTTTTGTTGGATAATTGTACTTTGCTTGGTAAGTTAACTTTTTGACACCCTATTGAAATTTCAAATAGTATCAATTTCTTGCTTCATTTTAATAATTAATTTTTTTCTAATAGGTATTAGCTTTCTTTTTTAATATTTTTTGCTGTTGTCAATTTTTTTATTGGACTTTCTGTTCCTTTTCTTTTTGGTTATAAATCATTAACATTAATTAAGATTTAATAAAATATAAAGCAACTTATCTAGATAAGATCAATAATCAAAAGATTGTAAAACGTTTTACATTTTAAAATTTTTAATATGGTTCTCGAAGTAACATGAATGGAACTCGTTACTCTAAAAATGAATACATATAACCTTTTTTGTTCTTACAAATATGGATTGCGTTTGTACCGATTCTATTTAAAAAAAAAACCCTTATGTTTTGGATGCATCGAAATGCTGTCGCGAACCTCAAATCTGAAATGGAAGATGGAAGCTCTGATTAAAGCTACTGTTCAAGAGGCAAAGGGGAAAGTGATTAAGGATTCTTTGAACGGAAGTGACCCGAAACTACAAAAACATTAGTGACAGAGAAGGTACTGGTGGGCTGATGACCATGCATGAAATGTTGGAGCTCCTTGTCGGCCAGATATTGTCCAGAGGATTACTATATATATCGGCCGCCTAACCAATCAAGTTTTGATTGGAAAGCCCACCATAAAGTAAGAAAAACATCCTTACATTTGTTGGTGGTTGTACACGTTTTAGTTGGAACAAAAAACATGAAAATTAACGTAGAGTTCCCAAAGGAATCAAGATACACTAAGAATAATTTCTAATGTGACATAATGAGAAAACGCGGTCTGTAACCTTCCTTTTATTATTATATGTTGCAAAAAAAAATGAACGAGGCGCTATTGTATAATGCTTCGATCCATTAGAAAGAGTTGTTGATTGTTTCATAGCTATAGTATGACTACATGTTCATAAAATCAGGTTTTGTTATAAATTTTAGGTACAGTACTAAGGATGGAGATCACAAAGTGTCAATTGAGTTACAAACTCATTTATGTTAATAATCTAGTTATATTACGGATTTAATAATTTTATTGATAAAAATTATTACCAGTATTTAATCTCATAGCCCATTGATATGTATGTTATTGATGGCTTCATGGATAAAAACAGTCCATCCAAAAAACTCTCGTTGGTAATTAAATGTTCATTGGTAATAAATATATTAATGAATTTATTAACAGAAAAAATATACCAAAAAACATTATCCATGTCATTTTATTAGTATATCTCCATTTGTAAATTTAATATTTCACTAACAAGAAAATCATATGTAATGTCATCGATGGTTTATTTGTTTGTTGATATATTTATCAATAAATATAACACTAACATAATATCATCTATAATTATGTCAATGAGTTAAAAGTAAAGTTAGTATTTATAGTCATTCTTTTCTAACTCTTTCTGAAATATAATGATGAAGATGTTTTGATGGTAAACCTGTTAATATATATATATATAATGTAAGTAGAAAAATAATTAATATAAATTAAAATAATAAAAAAATCAAATATTTATTATAAATTTAAATATTTTTATGTTCAACTATGATAAATCTAAAAGAGATGCAGCACGGGAGGAGGAAGAAGTTAATCGTCACCTAGAAAATGGGGTCAATTAAAGGTTACACATATACCATCCATTTATAATCTCTTCTTCATTACCAATCAATGGGGTTTTTCATAATCAATAGTAAGTTATTTATATTTTTCATTAAGATGGGTTGTTCGAGCTTATACTCATTAATCTATCATCGCTGTGAACACCAAAGTTTGAGTGCTCAGAATCAATTTCGAGCATCCAACAATATGTTATGATCAATTCATGGATTAAAATTATAATTCAAAAATTGAATACATTTTAGAGCTTAATTTATAAAATTATTTTTAATGAAGTAACACTTGATTAATTATCTTAATTTAATTTATAACTAATGATTCTTAATATGTGTGACCTATTAAGTTTATAATATGTTAGCCTAAATATAAATTATAATTCTAAAATATAAAATTAAATAAATCAAATAATTTAATTTGTTACCAATTCAATAATTAATTAATTTATATTTGAAGATCAAGTGAACCATTTAACGTGTTATAATTCTCAAAATATTAGAAAAGTCATAAATAATTCAACTTAATTTTTAAATAATTAATATTTCAATGTAATTATTATTTCTTTATCAATAATATTTTAATTTTAATATTTTAATATAAAATTTGTATATTATATTAAATTATATTTATTTGTACCATTATAATTATTAATACTTCAAATAAAATTAAAATCACTTTTCAAATATCATTTCATCACTTAACTCCCGGTCCTGAGATTCACGAAACCAGTAAAGAAGATATTGAGGGAGAACGTTGATGTTTTTGGCACCACTACGAGGGAGGAGCAGAGACCAGCTAAGTGCTAGCTAGGCGCCCGTAATGCGTGTGCGCCGCCCATTATTTATCAAAAGCCTCCGTTTAGCAAAAGAAGTAGCAGACTAGTAGTAGCCTCAGCTAAACTATCACTTTCCACTTTAATTATCTTTCTCAGACTACAACCCTCGCTATCAACTACCTGCATTACATACTGGAGAACAACGATTTTTAGCTGACCCCCCACGAAATCCCCACGCATTAACGTTTTTACAACTCAAATCTACGCAAAATCACACGTATATATTCTTTCTTCCTTGTAGCAAGGACCCTATCTACCCATAACCTCTAAATTCATCTTCTTCTAGACCTTTTCCTTCACATATAGATATATTTATATATATCCTCTACCAATATTAAATATACATAAGGCTGACCCCAACACATCCACTAACGTGCCCTAAATAAACCAAACTCACCCACCGTTAGCATTACATTTTGACCCTAATTCTTCTATACTAGTGAACCCACTTGACCCTATATTGTCACAATCTATCCCTACAAACACATGTGAAAAATATCCATCTCCAAAAGATCTTCCTCCTCGGCATACTACTTAAACCCACCACCATGGCCACGACTTCTTCTAACTCCAAAAGGCATCCAATGTATCATGGAATCCGGAGCCGCGGTGGTAAATGGGTTTCTGAAATCCGGGAGCCACGCAAAACCACTCGTATATGGCTTGGCACATTCCCAAAGCCGGAGATGGCGGCGGCCGCATATGATGTTGCAGCCCTGGCCCTAAAAGGTAATGGTGCAGTTCTGAACTTCCCAAGTTCTGCTGGGACTTATCCTGTGCCTGCTACGGCATCATCCACTGATATTCGTAACG